GCATTTTGAGCTTTATCCATTTTGACAAATACGCATTTTGAGCTTTATCCATTTTGGCAAACACGCATTTTGAGCTTGATCCATTTTGGTAACTACGCATTTTGAGCTTTATCCATTTTGACAAATACGCATTTTGAGCTTGATCCATTTTGGCAAACACGCATTTTGAGCTTGATCCATTTTGGTAACCACGCATTTTGAGCTTTATCCATTGTGACAAATACGCATTTTGAGTTTTATCCATTTTGACAAATATGCGTTTTGAGTTTTATCCATTTTGGCAAACACGCATTTTGAGCTTGATCCATTTTGGTAACCACGCATTTTGAGCTTTATCCATTTTGACAAATACGCATTTTGAGCTTGATCCATTTTGGCAAACACGCATTTTGAGCTTGATCCATTTTGGTAACCACGCATTTTGAGCTTTATCCATTGTGACAAATACGCAATTTGAGTTTTAGCCATTTTGACAAATACACATTTTGAGCTTGATCCATTTTGGTAACCACGCATTTTGAGCTTTATCTATTTTGACAAATACGCATTTTGAACTTTATTCATTTCGGCAAACACGCATTTTGAGCTTGATCCATTTTGGTAACCACGTATTTTGAGCTTTATCCATTGTGAGAAATACGCATTTTGAGTTTTATCCATTTTGACAAGTACTCATTTTGAGCTTTATCCATTTTGGCAAACAAGCATATTGAGATTGATCCATTTTGGCAAACAAGCATTTTGAGATTGATCCATTTTGGCAAACAAGCATTTTCGCTTTGCCCATTCACGCAAACACGCAGTTTGAGCTTTGTCCATTTTCGTAAATACGAATCTCGTACTATATCCGGATTTAAAAACTCACCAACGTTGTGATGTTTTGAAGATTATCAATTTTCTCTCATTTCGGTTGTCACTATGAGGTGTTAAGGTAAAATTCAACTGCAAGTATTTTCGTTGTTACGCAACCATAATATAATCTGGTACGAAGCTAATCCACATAGTCTGTTATTGACTGAAAAATAATCAATTTATTTTCGATTGCCAAGAAATAGAAATTAAAAACTTTTGATTTGCTGACAAATTTTTCTCCAAGCACCTCAGAATGTCTGGGTGTAAGTGATTCTAACTATCTTCTAAATTCAATCAGATATCAGTCGGTCAAATGCGAGATTCAACTGCTTCTAGAATTATTTTGTACGTTGACGTACGTATGTTTTGAATTAATTGCTCGTACCTCGTGTTAACTGTGTCTACCCATTTATTTCAAAACATACGCACGCTAACATACGGGATAGTACTGAACCAACCGTAAATCCAGTGCAAAGTCTTCTCCTCCCCCTCACTAAAGTGTTCACGAAACTGATTAGTTTTATTGGATACTAATTAGTTTTATGTGATATTTCACTGATAAATTTTATTTTATAGAAAAAGGAATTAAGAAAGAGCCGCGTAGAAAAATCATTAATTAATAATGCGTATACGTAATTCAGAAAAGCCAGTAGAACACATTAACGAAATTCCAACTTATATTTCGAAAAAGTTGTTCATAACTGTAAAATATAAAAATTGATACCAGCATAAAGTACCGCAATGGACTGATCGTTGAGACATGGTTCCCAGCAGATCACCAAAGTCAATCATCACTGGCTACGGTCAGTGTGCGGGTGGGTGACCACTTAGATCAGTCTGCGTAGAGACTGAGGGTGTGCGGTATTGGTAACTTTTCTACCGTAAAGTGCTCGACTTCACGTGCAGGTCGTCGAGCTACCAAAACGGGGGTGCCATCCCCTCTGCCGAGGATCAAAATTGTGATGGCTTGTCTTCGGATCATCCTCAGGTATGTTTCCCAGACCGTCACCAATAGCCCATTGTGCAGCTCTAGTGCGACGTAAATAAACCACAACAACCTACTTATATTTTGAAAAAGTTGTTCATAATTGTAAAATATAACTTAATACCAGAGTTGGCCAAAAATGTAATCGATTACATTTTTTGATTACAGTAATCAATTACTTGTAATCATGATTACAATTTTCAAAAATTTTNCAAAATTTTTTGAAAGTTGTAATCACGATTACAAGTAATTGATTACTTGTAATCGTGATTACAAGTAATTGATTACATAGCTGTAATTATCTGTAATCAATTACAGTTGTAATCGATTACTGTAATCAACGGCCAACTCTGCTTAATACCTACGTAAAACCTTTTGTTTGTAATTTACTATTAATACTAATACTCCATATGTCTAGTATTTTTAAATTTATTTTTTTGCTTTAGGAATGGAGCCCAATTTTGAGAAGCTTTCACCACTAGTATTCGACGACTTAGGACTGTCCTATGATTATAGTTCAATCATGCATTATCGAGCGTATATGTTCGCTCAAGATCGATCAGAGCCTACTTTGATGCCCGTTGACCACCAAGCCAACATCGACGATCTCGGTGCCGGTCAGAGAGATGCTGAGTTTACGGATTTAGATCTTCAGAAAATAAAGAAATTTTATGAATGTTAATACAAGGTTTTATAGTCAACTTTGATAACGAAAATCTTATGTATGAATAATTTAGGAATGTCTTATACGCATATGTATAACTTTTTTTAATATGTAGACTGACTTTTAATTTGTTTCAGTAAATATTTTAATATGTTTTAGTATTATTGTTTAATGTGTTTGTACGTATTTAATGTTTTCTACTTTACTTTTACATTTATTTTTACCCACCGTAATTTTTAATAATGAAATATCATTTTTTTAAATAATGTCATTCACGACTGTTTTTTTTTAATAGATATGGGTTTAAAAATTAAATGAGCGTGATCGGATCATACTTCCGTGTCTTAGTCGTACGAAATTCACTCTAATGTTATATCTCTTGGTGATTTCAGAGCCGAAAAAGTTTCTGTAGGGTTGGGAAACACTGTGTGATGACTGATTACTTCTGTCATTTGTTTACTGATCTAAATTGTGGTAAAACATTGTTAAAACAACTGCATTCATTAATATGGTGTTTAGACAAATACTATTGATGTATCCTTCATGGTTTCAAATAAACCATTCACGTAGCTTCGACACTTAGCAATCAAATCGATCTCAGTTTTGAGTTAGCTTAAATTTTAGATTTTAATTCAAAGCAAGTGCCTGGAATGGTGCCTAAGCACTTGACAGATGCCTTGTTAATACTGAGGTTCTTAAGTATTTTTGAGGCACGAACCTGATGCCTTCGTTATCGTAGTCCAATACATTATTCTGAGCCGTGATGGCTCAGGGGATAGAGCATTCGCCTTCCAATAAGATGAGCCGGGTTCGAATTGATCGATTCGAATTTCGAATCCGGCTTGCACCGACCACAGTGCTGAAGTAAGATATCCTCAGTGATTGATGGATTGTGGGTTAGAGTCCCTTTGTCACTAGACTAACCGTGGGAGGTTTTAATGGTTTTCCTCACCATGTAACGCAAATGGAGGTTAGTACCATCAAAAAGTTCTCCACAAAGGCAAATTTTGCCCAATACTTAATCGAGGAGCTCTCTTGTCTTCTGGATTGTTGTTGTTGTTGTTAATTTACGTCGCACTAGAGCTGCACAATGGGCTATTGGTGACGGTCTGGGAAACATCCCGGAGGATGATCCGAAGACATGCCATCACAATTTTGATCCTCTGCGGAGGGGATGGCACCCCCGCTTCGGTAGCCCGACGACCCTTCTGGATTGGGATCAGAATTACAAGGCTACGGAGTTGAACATTAGCAGTCGTAAACCCAAAAAATCGGGTCGGCTGTTCAACGACGGTTATAAAATAAAATACCTTATTCTCTGTACCACACCTCATATTTCTCTGCTATAAAAATCTGAATACGAGATGTTGATCAAAAACAATTCTAAGATTTGTGCTACCGTGACATGTTTATAAGAGAACTCTCTCAGTTAATCTGTGCCTAATCAACTAATATACTCTTAATTAAATTTGGGCTAGCAGTGGACTGATCGTTAAGACACGGTTCCCAGCAGATCACCGAAGTCAAGCATCACTGGCTGCGGTCAGTGTGCGGGTGGGTGACCACTTGGATCAGCCTGCGTAGGGACCGAGGTGAGCGGTATTATCGTCGTTAAACTGTTCTACCAGTAAAGTGCTCGACTTCGCGTGCAGGTCGTCGGGCTACCGAAGCGGGGGTGCCTTCCCCTCTGCAGAGGATCAAAATTGTGATGGCATGTCTTCAGATCATCCTCAGGGATGTTTCCCATACCGTTGCCAATGGTCCATTGTGCGGTTCTAGGGCGACCTAAATAAACTACAACTGTAACTTAATTAAATTTAGAAGTTGAAGGAAGGAATTATCGACTTAGGCGTAGACCATATAGACCTAAAATATTGAAATTATGATTTTGCGTTTGTATGCGTAAACTAAGAATTTATTTAAATTGATTGCGAACTGAATTTATATTTAAATGAATTGATTTCTAATGAATTACAATGGAGGAGAGCAGGGCACAAAGTGACAGTCCCAGAAATTTGCAATCAGGCATACTCTTTTTCTTATTAACATGCATATACGACTTATGGTGATCAACTCAAAGAACAGCGTGAAAACCTTTTTCAAATTGAAATATATATGTACATAAATGGCATAAATTAGAGATTGTATAAGATTCCTCAGCAAGTCTTAAATACTTTCGTATCACTGATTTAAAATCTGTAATCAGTTTCTCTCTACCAGCTATAGTTTTTTTCTTCTCTTTCATATGACATTTTTAGTCTTTTTTTTTGTTGAAATGTGTAAGTTTAAAAACGTGATATATGTCAGGGATCACATAAATTTTGTGACAAATGTCTAGGGGAGTTAAAGCATCAGGATTAAAATGGTATAGGAACTCGTGTTACGAAATGTCGTCATACGCCTCTAGGGGTGCTTCCCCTATTATGAACTGCTTATTTTGTGCTTTTATGAACAGGTTATAATTGAAAAGCGCTCCCATATTTCCATGCAAGGGTTTCTATGCAGTTGTAAGCCTGATGATGTTCCCTAACTCTCCTAGAAGTTAATAGCAACATTCATGCGTCCCCCTGTTCATAAAACGTTTTTAATATTGTACAATCTGACAAAAAATTTGCTAAAACTGCCATTCTAAAAAAATCTGCATCTTCATAAGCAAAACAAATTTCAGATTTGAAATCTTCATATCTGAATTAGGCGAGAATTAATATTTGTATAAATGCAACAAAAAAAATGTGCTCTCTAATGTAATTTAAACGTTATTGGATTAAATGTTATATGATTCACAACTTAACTCAAAACAACATCATGAAACTTAAAACTAATTGAAGTTTTATTTTATTTTTTTATAAAACCCGTTATTTACAAATATTTTACAAACAATAATAAATAATTATAAATTGATATTAACATTCATACAGCTCCGTTATCTCCAGAATATCTGTTTCTGTGAGTGTTCCAATGGTTTTGGCCCGACCAAGATCTCTGAGTCTAGTTCTTGGCTGCTTTGGCCTCATTGTTGGCAATCTTGGCGATACAGAAAATGCATACGCATCATAATGCATTACGGATTGATAATCATAAGGAAATTTAAGAAAATTCGATGCTTCTGGAAAACTCTTTGCAAAATTTATTTCTTTATCTGAAAAATTGAATTCGACAATTACTAAGGTGATATTTTATTTATTAAAATTTTTAAGTAATGTATAATAGTTTCATTGTTACTAAGTGAAAAAGTAATGGGAATTTATTACTTTTCTAATCAGTATGAAATGATGATAACACTAATTTCTTTACTTTAAACAATATTCATTATGAAATTTAGGAAATGATAAGAGTATTATTAATTACAAATTTATGATAATCAAATACTAATATATCAAATACTTTCAAAATTAAAAAAAATCAAAACTGAGGTTACAACTGTTGTACCAGCCGTCTACAAAAGGTTTAATCTTACGTTCTAATCAGTATGAAATGATGATAACACTAATTTCTTTACTTTAAGCAATATTCATTATGAAATGATAAGAATATTAACTGAGGTTGCAACTGTTGTACCAGCCGTCTGCAAAAGGTTTAATCTTACGTTCTAATCAGTATGAAATGATGATAACACTAATTTCTTTACTTTAAACAATATTTATTATGAAATTTAGGAAATGATAAGAGTATTATTAATTACAAATTTATGATAATCAGATACTAATATATCAAATACTTTCAAAATTAAAAAAAATCAAAACAGAGGTTACAACTGTTGTACCAGCCGTCTGCAAAAGGTTTAATCTTACGTTCTAATCAGTATGAAATGATGATAACACTAATTTATTTACTTTAAACAATATTCATTATGAAATTTATGAACTGATAAGAATATTATTAATTACACGTCAGCTAATTAAGGCAAAGTTTCCTACCAATGTCAAAGCAAATATTACCTTTAATAACATTACTCCAAATTATTTCAATAAAATCATCTCTGTCCGATCTATTATGCTCATGCCAGAAACCAAGAACATGCATCAACTCATGTATAACAGTCCCTTTGTTAATACAATCAGGAACAGTTAGGGAAACAACTTGAGACCCACCTTGGCGACCAACATATGACCAGCATCTACTCTTTGGATTAGATGAAAGACAGATAGGTTATAGTCATTTTAAATAAACGTCATAATAGTATTCATAAATATTATTCTTAAATTACTTTTTTTAGGTTTCTTACCCTCCATCTGGGGTGATGTAGATATAATCTTTTTCAGTTGTTCTTCGGATAAAGCTGATGCAAGTGAAGTCTTCAATTTCCTGTAGAGCTTCATTAATTACATATACGTCATAGGCATCTGGAATGAAGTTTTTGATACTTTTAATTATATTCAGACAAATCTATCTGTCTATCTTTCTATATATATATAA